ATACAGCAGGTTAGCTTATGGGCTACTGCTGTAAAGTGAAAATTGCTGTAAAGTGACTCATTGCCACTTTTTCACTTTCACATGAATATGAAAGCCTGATAACATATTTACACTATCATATATTAAGTGAGCAATATAGCTAGGCCTAAAAATTGCATAGACAGAACACACATTACTTACCTTAAATTATTTTTGTTCTTAGCTTACAATGAGTAGTGAACATATATATTGTAGGAAGTCTGAATAAATGAAGAATGGGTATAACTGAAAATCACTGTATTAGCTAAACGCCGCAGAGCATAGCACTGTAAAGCGGGGCCTGCCTGTACAATGTAAATTAAAAAACTGGAAAAAAAATTATTTTGAGTTTTTATGGCATTTTTAAGTTTAATGATTAGACTTTCCTATTTTTCACAACGTTCTCAACGACTTTTTCATTTACTTTCTCAAAAAAATTTTTTTACTCGAGAACGCCTTGTTCGACTAGTTTCAGATTTTAAGTGCTGGTGTAATGCAGCTTGGACAAGATTCACGCAGGGGAACTACTTGCATACATGGATGCCCTATGCACATTATTACATAAATCATTCCCAAACTTTACTTCTATGTGATAACCAAAGAAAAAGGCTCCTTCTGATTGGCTTCAATATTTTAACTCGTGTATCCTACTTAGCAGGTCGGTATATTTCATAGTGTGTGAGATGCCATTTTGCCACTTTTAATCTTGAAATGGTATAGTATTATTTTACATTGGATTATTTTCCCTTGATGCTAGTGAGGGTCTCTTGAACTGGACTTCATTTTCTGCTTCCTGAATGCTTCCCATTCCACAGGAGCTACATGACCCCTACAGGTTTAGCACTTTACTATGACTTAACCCTTTCACTGTCCAAGCTCTGAAATTAATATTAATTTCAGTGTCCACTTTAAAAAACACTTTTCTTCTTAAATGGTAGAGAATCTTTTTCTTAAATAAATGATACCAAAAGTGCAAAATTTTATGGAAAACTTACGGAATTACGCAGGTGCAAAGATAATGGTCTCGGCTCCATTTAAGCATTGGCAATATTGCCCACTTTGAGTCCTATTTTAAGCCAATTTCATTGTTCCATTGACCAAATTCTTAGCAATTTCTCTAGTATGCCTTCTAATCTATTGACTGAGCACAAGAAACTGCCCATTCAACTATTTGAAGTATCCAATAAAGTGCCCAGAAATTGGTAATTTGGCCAATTTTACACAAAATTAAACCAATTTAAAAATAGTCCAAAATAAACAATGTAGACATTCCTGGCATTAAAACAACATTTCCTGTTCATTAGTCACATCCTCAGGCCTCTCCCACATTACACTTGTCTTTCATTTTGAATTCTTAATCACACAAAAATAGAAGATTTACTCTATTTTTCAGATAAAATATAACCAGGAATGATTATGGTTTACAGCATCCCAATAATTTATTCAGGCCTACTAAAAACCCACAAAACAGACTAGGGGGTGTAGGGGAGTAAATTTATATTAAAAATAACAAGAAGACATAACAGTTAAGTTTAGAAGAATGAGTGTTACTAGTTATTTAAATAACAATACAAATATGATGAGAGAGCTTATGCACATAATATAAGCGAGTTAAAGGAAAGTTGGAAGAAGAATGGACAGAATCGGATGAAAACTGCAGGGTTCAGGTTTTGTGTGACATAGTACAGCCTCTCCTCACTTAGCGACGTACTTAGCCTGGTGGCTAAAGCTCCCGCTTCGCACACGGAGGGCCTGGGTTCGATTCCCGGTGGGTGGAAACATTTCGACACGTTTCCTTACACCTATTGTCCTGTTCACCTAGCAGCAAATAGGTACCTAGGTGTTAGTTGACTGGTATGGGTCGCATCCTGGGGTACAAGATTGAGGACCCCAATGGAAATAAGTTAGACAGTCCTCGATGACGCACTGACTTTCTTGGGTTATCCTGGGTGGCTAACCCTCCGGGGTTAAAAATCTGAACGAAATCTTATCTTATCTCTGACCAGTATTTATACCTGAATAATGTATAGAAAAGCTGATTTCCTCTATTCTCTTTATTTCAATATACAGTGCACTACTGTATAAACATTTAAAAATATACCAGAAATGTTATAAATGGTGCAAAGGTGACATTAAAACAATATCCAAGATGGTTGACACAAACCTACTACCATTACAGTATGCTCCTCAATTAGTGACAAATTCATTTAATGACGTGGTCTTAGGAACGAAGTTCTGTCATTAAGTGGTGGGAGGCTGTATGTAGTTGTCAAGATCACAATAACAGAGGTGTTTTTTAACAATAGCTTTGAAGTGGTTGACAGATAGGAAACCTTTGGAATCTTCAGGTAGTGCATTCTAAATTTTAAAGCCTTTTATATCCATCAAATTTTTACACGGATTGAGTTGATCACAGGGTATATGAGAGAGATTTTTGTGTCTCGTGTTATGCCTATGAGTTCTGTTGCAGCTATCATGGAAGTTTCAGAGCAGGGTTTATATTAGAATTGTATATAGTATAAACTTCTGTGCCAGCCTTCGTCGGGTGTGGACATCTCTCACCTCAGTATCAGTGACAGATTTCCCCCGCTCTCTGTGACACTTGTCCTCATCTACTTTGCCTACCGGACACATTACAGGAGGGGCATCTGTCATTGGCTTAATTTAGTCAGCTTTATTTTTTCGCTCTGCAGATAATTTTTTGATGATTTTGGCAGATGTCAGTTACTGAACTTAGGTGTGAGTGTGGGCATCTGGCTCTGCTGGGGCTTGGAAATGGGGTTCACCTAATCTAATTGCAAACTTCTAGTTCTTGTTTCTATTTACAAAAAAAACTCCATTCCTTTTTCTTTCGTTGCCCAGCTTTGGGCAACAAATCTTCCCTTTACATCGGGAAGTCAAGCTCAATACGGCGTAAGCTCTCAGTGGCCCTGATAAACCCAACAAACAAACAAACAATATATAGTATACATAGCAGTATGAGTGAATATTATGCATACTAAGTAACTTAAACTTCTGAATTATTATTATAATCAAAAAGTAATGCTAAACCACAAGGGCTATACAGCATTAAACTTCTGAAGACTGGGGGTGTGTGTTGCCTGGCACTAGATTAGGTAATGGTTCATACAGATACTTTTTGCTGAGTTATTGGTTTTAGGTAATTTGCTGTAGATCCCCAAGCACAAATACCAAATCTTCAAATCTTCATTGCTAATTTTCAACTGCATTATCAATTTATGCTGTACTCTGCACTATTCCAATCGCATGCATTGAGGAAAGGGGACTTGGGTAATGAAGCAGCTACCAAAATACATATAGTATTATAGCCAAGGTTTCTACCCAGAAGTCTATATTAAATCTATAGCCTTGGAAAAAAAGACAGCTGGTTGGCAATTAACTGATTTGCCCAAAGGGAAAAAGAGAGCCAAGCACTCACAACTGAAGGACCTGGGTTCATTCCCAGCACAAGTTGAAATAATGTTGCCTCTGTTCACCTAGCAATAAGTAGGTGACTGGTTGTTTGCTGACAGATGTGGGTTGCATCCTGGGTGAGAGGATTAAAGGATCCCAATGGAAATAGATATACTGTACATGCTGTATCAGGATATCCTAGATTAGCAAGCCTCCAGGTTAGTAATTTGGATTAATAATCCATATTATTATTATTATAATAATCAAAGAAATTAATAATGCGTAGGCCTGGTCATAGACCGGGCCGCGGGGGCACTGACCCCCGGAACTATCTCCAGGTAAACTCCTACTACTAATGCCCAACATATTATTACAGTCACAGGGAGGCAATAAACCCGCAGGGGGGTCATACAGCATCTGGGAGAAATGAAAGGCATTCAGACTCGATCCAAGGCACTGGAGCACAGGTTCAATTCCATAGATCAAGAGCCTGTCACTAGCATCAAAGAACCTTCCTTAATGGGGATGTGACCCAAGTAACTCAAGACCTTCACAACAATGAGGACACTCTAGAAATACAAACTCACCATCGAACGTTTTATTTACACAAATAATGCATTTGCACTTAAAATACGGCACTACATATTTATGTTCCTTACAAAAGTTAGTGTTAGGTTTACTTATTATATTATTATAAAAGGGGAAGCACTAAACCCGTAGGATTATACAACGCCTGTGGGGGATGTGGAAGATATTCAGGTTTAATTCAGGGAACTGGAGCACAGATCTAATTCCCTAGATCAAGAGCCTCTCACCATTAACAATGAACCTCCCTTGAGGGGTATGTTAGGTTTAAAGCCTATGGAGTGCACGAAGGTCAACCTAACCATTAATCTCTACACACAGAATTTTGCCTCCAAAACTGGGATTAGACCTGACTGTCAGAATATATACACTGACAACACATCTCTCAGTGTATATACTGACAACACATCTGTGTATATACTGACACAACACATCTCAGTGTATATACTGACACATCTCAGTGTATATACTGACACATCTCAGTGTATATACTGACACATCTCAGTGTATATACTGACACATCTCAGTGTATATACTGACACAACACATCTCTCAGTGTATACTGACACAACACATCTCTCAGTGTATATACTGACACAACACATCTCTCAGTATATATACTGACACAACACATCTCTCAGTGTATATACTGACACAACACATCTCTCAGTGTATATACTGACACAACACATCTCTCAGTGTATATACTGACACAACACATCTCTCAGTGTATATACTGACAACACATCTCTCAGTGTACTGACACAACACATCTCTCAGTATATATACTGACAGAACACATCTCTCAGTATATATACTGACACAACACATCTCTCAGTGTATATACTGACACAACACATCTCTCAGTGTATATACTGACAACACATCTCTCAGTATATATACTGACACAACACATCTCTCAGTGTATATACTGACACATCTCAGTGTATACACTGACACAACACATCCCTCAGTTTACATACACTGAGAGAATACTCTTCCCGGTGTATATACCAGGTCATACCAGTAATAAGGTTTTACCTCTGATGAAACACTTGGTAAACAATATTTTGAAAACTTTCCACAGAAATTTCGAGAAAGACATCACTAAACAAATGGTCACTTGGGACCTCACAATATTCCAGCTTCACATCATAGATGACGCTGTAATACCTGATCATAAATAAGACACTTGTACAACACTTGGGGAATCTTTATTCTGGAAACATTTCTCTAGGCAGTGGTTTATTCAATCCAGTGTTGAACAATGGTGGAAGATGAGGAGAAGTTTATTTATTTGCAAAGCTTACAGTGTATGGTGTACATGTTATGAAATATTAATTACAAAGAAGGCCACTAGTATGTCTAGGCATTTAGGGCAGACTAATACTAATTCTTACTCTGTATTGACACAGGTTGTGGAGCAGTACATTTTAATGTATATTATTGCATAATGATATAAAAGTTGGGTAACTGAAGTAATTAACATTAATTAGATTTATAATAGTGAGGTAGTACAACACATAACAATATTACAATTAGTAAATTTAGTAATGGGAATGGTTTTATCTTGGCGTGATAAACTGTTTCTATTAAAGCTCCTATATTGGGAGAGTATTTCAAGCAAACTTAGGACTAACTTAAGATTTATTAGGCAATAGCTATATTAGGAATTTTATGTTCACAGTCATTTGGATGAGTGTAAGTGTAAATTAGGGGGAATTACAGTTAACGAGAGTAAGTCTATTTTCTTTTGGATGTATTCATGTTACAAAAAAGAGAAGTAGGCAGTTTTCATTTAGTTAACTAATTATGGGGTGTGTTAGGGAGATAAGATGTTTTTTAACGGTAATTTTGAAAATGATAGTCGAGTCTGCGGTTCTGGAGTTTTCAGGCAGGAAGTTCCAGATTTTAGGCTCTTTTATGTACACTGAATTTTTGTAGAGATTTAGCCGTTAGTTAGTTTAATATGTTTAATATGCACACCATACCCATCCTGTGAGACACGAGGAATGTCAGAGGTTTTTGTGTCTGGTATTGTGTCTAGGGGCGCCATTGGTACACTAAGGGAAAATACCGTAAGTGTCCGGGGCCCAAGACTGTTCAACAGCCTCCCATCAAGCATTAGGGGAATTGCCAATAAACCCCTGGCTGCCTTCAAGAGAGAGAGCTGTACAGATACCTAAAGTCAGTGCCGGATCAGCCGGGCTGTGGCTCGTACGTTGGACTGCGTGCGGCCAGCAGTAATAGCCTAGTTGATCAGGCCCTGATCCATCGGGAGGCCTGGTTATGGACCGGGCCGCGGGGGCGTTGATCCCCGGAATAACCTCCAGGTAATCCAGGGTCCTGGAGAGGGTTCCGGGGGTCAACGCCCCAGCGGCCAGGCCTGTGACAAGGCCTCATGGTGGATAAGGGCCTGATCAACCAGGCTGTTACTGCTGGCCGCACGCAACCCGACGTTGTTACAAACCACAGCCCGGCTGGCCAGGTACTGACTTTAGGTGCCCGTCCAGTGCCTTCTTGAAGACAACCAGGGGTCTATTGGTAATCATCCTTATGTATGCTGGAAGGCAGTTGAACAATCTGCCCATATGACAACAGGAAAATGCAAACTCCCTTCCTGTAAGCTTTTTCACCCTGAACTGTGTACCTCTTCAGTACAGGAAAGACTGCTATAACTTAAATTGCCAGGCATACCATCTAAAGGGGACAAAAAAGATACAAAACATCCAGGCCATGGGAAAACCTGGGTAGCCACAGCCACTCAAGAGGGAGAGGTTTTTTAGTGCCAGGAAGGAAAAAAAACTGGCAGGAAATGGCAGAAATCGTACACCAAATCCAGTCATTCCTGGAGTGGAACCACAGTCGATGGCCTCCACTCCAAACCAACAGATACAGATACTAATGCCGGGAAAAAAATCCCCCCCCAGTACCAACAATACCACCAGTCCGATAACATTCTTCTTTGCAAATATACAGGGTCTAAAGCCAGCAACAAACAACAAAATACCTTTCATCCGTGGACTGCTTGCAGAGGCAAAGGCAATGTTCGCGGCTTTCACTGAGACCCACAATAAAGGATCACTTGGACAACGAAATATGGATCCCAGGTTACAACCTATACAGATGTGACAGAGTGAACAGGCAAAAGGGGGGGGGTTGGCCTGTACATTGCAGAGTCACTTGTTTGCACAGAACTGCTAAATGCCTCAAATGATGTAGTGGAAGTTTTAGCAGTAAAGGTCGAGAACCAAAACCTAGTCATTGTGATAGTCTACAAGCCTCCGGATGCAACATCCCAGCAATTCCAGGAACAGCTGTTAAAAATTGACCACTGTCTGGAAAACCTTCCAGCTCCTGCACCCAACATCTTGCTCCTGGGGGATTTCAACTTAAGGCACCTAAAATGGAGGAATATAGCAAATAATATTGTTGCAGTAATAACACCAGAGGCAGCTCTGATGAAAACTCACACTCACGCGAGCTTTTAAATCTCTGCACAAAATTCAATTTAAACCAGCAAATAATAGAGCCTACTAGACTGGAGAATACACAGACCTCATCTTCACTAACAATGATGATCTGATAAGAAATATCACCATATCAAAAAACAATATACTCAGATCACAACATAATTGAGGTTCAGTCATGTATGCGCGGAGACCCAGACCGACATAATGAGATTAGTCACGAGGGAGCATTCACCAAATTCAACTTCAATAACAAAACATAAAGTGGGACCAAGTAAACCAAGTCCTAACCGATATAAGCTGGGAAGATATACTAAGCAACACAGACCCCAACTTATGCCTAGAACAGATTAACTCGGTGGCACTCGATGTATGCACAAGGCTTATTCCTCTAAGAAAAAGGAGGAGTAGATAAAACAGAAAGAGACAGGCGCCCCTTTACAGGCGACGGAAAAGAATAACAGAGCGGCTAAAAGAGGTCAATATATCGGAAATGCGTAGGGAGACACTGGTCAGAGAAATAGCAAGCATCGAACTTAAGCTAAAAGAATCCTTTAGGAGTCAGGAATCGCGGGAAGAACTAAAAGCCATAAATGAAATCGAAAGAAACCCAAAGTATTTCTTCTCCTATGCCAAATCAAAATCGAGAACAACGTCCAGTATTGGGCCCCTACTTAAACAAGATGGGTCCTACACAGATGACAGCAAGGAAATGAGTGAGCTACTCAAGTCCCCAATATGACTCAGTTTTTAGCAAGCCGCTAACCAGACTGAGAGTCGAAGATCAAAATGAATTTTTTATGAGAGAGCCACAAAATTTGATTAACACAAGCCTATCCGATGTTATCCTGACGCCAAATGACTTCGAACAGGCGATAAATGACATGCCCATGCACTCTGCCCCAGGGCCAGACTCGTGGAACTCTGTGTTCATCAAGAACTGCAAGAAGCCCCTATCACGAGCTTTTACCATCCTATGGAGAGGGAGCATGGACACGGGGGTCGTCCCACAGTTACTAAAAAACAACAGACATAGCCCCACTCCACAAAGGGGGCAGTAAAGCAACAGCAAAGAACTAACAGACCAATAGCACTAACATCCCATATCATAAAAATCTTTGAAAGGGTCCTAAGAAGCAAGATCACCACGCATCTAGAAACCCATCAGTTACACAACCCAGGGCAACATGGGTTTAGAACAGGTCGCTCCTGTCTGTCTCAACTATTGGACCACTACGACAAGGTCCTAAATGCACTAGAAGACAAAAAGAATGCAGATGTAATATATACAGACTTTGCAAAAGCCTTCGACAAGTGTGACCATGGCGTAATAGCGCACAAAATGCGTGCTAAAGGAATAACAGGAAAAAGTCGGTCGATGGATCTATAATTTCCTCACTAACAGAACACAGAGAGTAGTCGTCAACAGAGTAAAGTCCGAGGCAGCTACGGTGAAAAGCTCTGTTCCACAAGGCACAGTACTCGCTCCCATCTTGTCCTCATCCTAATATCCGACATAGACAAGGATGTCAGCCACAGCACCGTGTCTTCCTTTGCAGATGACACCCGAATCTGCATGACAGTGTCTTCCATTGCAGACACTGCAAAGCTCCAGGCAGACATCAACCAAATCTTTCAGTGGGCTGCAGAAAACAATATGAAGTTCAACGATGAGAAATTTCAATTACTCAGATATGGTAAACATGAGAAATTAAATCTTCATCAGAGTACAAAACAAATTCTGGCCACAAAATAGAGCGAAACACCAACGTCAAAGACCTGGGAGTGATCATGTCGGAGGATCTCACCTTCAAGGACCATAACATTGTATCAATCGCATCTGCTAGAAAAATGACAGGATGGATAATGAGAACCTTCAAAACTAGGGAGGCCAAGCCCATGATGACACTCTTCAGGTCACTTTGTTCTATCTAGGCTGGAATATTGCTGCACACTAACACACCTTTCAAGGCAGGTGAAATTTGCCGACCTAGAAAATGTACAGAGAACTTTCACAGCGCGCATAACGGAGATAAAACACCTCAATTACTGGGAGCGCTTGAGGTTCCTAAACCTGTATTCCCTGGAACGCAGGAGGGAGAGATACATGATATATACACCTGGAAAATCCTAGAGGGACTAGTACCAAACTTGCACACGAAATCACTCACTACGAAGCAAAAGACTTGGCAGACGATGCACATCCCCCAATGAAAAGCAGGGATGTCACTAGCACGTTAAGAGACCATACAATAAGTGTCAGGGGCCCGAGACTGTTCAACTGCCTCCCAGCACACATAAGGGGGATTACCAACAGACCCCTGGCAGTCTTCAAGCTGGCACTGGACAAGCACCTAAAGTCAGTTCCGGATCAGCCGGGCTGTGGCTCGTATGTTGGTTTGCGTGCAGCCAGCAGCAACAGCCTGGTTGATCAGGCTCTGATCCACCAGGAGGCCTGGTCTCAGACCGGGCCGCGGGGGCGTTGACCCCCGGAACTCTCTCCAGGTAAACTCCAGGTAAACTCCCTGACATATACTGTGTTGTCTTATCGTGCTAGTGTCACCCCTGCTTTTCACAACACAT